GGCCTTTCAGTCACCGCCTCTTTCTTGGTTTCTTGCGCTTGTTGACGAAGAGCGCGAGCGTGGGCAGCCTTCGCCTTACGCCTTTGTATCCGTTCTTTAAGGGTTGAACGGGCCCTTTTGACGAGAGTCCATTCCTCCGTCGTAAGCTTTGCAGAAATATGATTATCTTGCCATTGAGGCAACTGGGTCATTTTCTGTTTTCTCGACTCTAGGTCCGCATAGTAATGGACCCCGTCGGTTTGTTGCATGGCCTTAGCCAGTTGTCGAGCACGGCGCTGACGCTGTCTCTGACGAGCCCTCTTCGTCAGCACCGGCGAGCTATTCATCATCGACTCCTTAAGGGATGTGGAGTCGTTTGGAGCAGGTATGTTGCAGATGGGTTCCTTAGCAGCAATTGAGTAGGAACCTTCACCTGCGGCCTCTTTGGGCATTGCAGGGCTGCGACACGACGGTCTCGGCAGCGAGACCGTTGGCTCCCACTGTGGTCGCCAGCTTGTTTGGGTCAAAAGTTGGTTTTGTCATGGAATTCATTATATCTTCGGTCGATTACAACAAATTCAAAAGAGATAGTCTTTTTATAAGACTTCTTTTACACAACAAAAGGAAAATTACAACTCTTGAGAAACAAACGCAGGATCGTTGTTTGGATCGCTGCTTGCGTGGGATCTTTGCCTGTGCCGGGAGCGCTTTGACTCGTGGACCACCAAATCACAGATTCTGATTGAACCGTGAGGGGTTTAATGATTCTTCCTTCGTTTATCGAAGTAAGAATTTGAAGCGAATATCTTATCGATGTAAGATGTTCACTCTTCTAAAGATCAAGTCAGAGCTTAGATCTCTAGGAATCGCCAAAAGCTTCTTGAAGATATTTGTGAAGAAGGAAGACTCTCTCTTTTGCTCTAATTCACCAAAAGCTTAAGTCTTTTCTGCTCTTAAAATGCTCTCCTCCTTTAATTCGTGCCTAGGGAGGTATTTATAGGGCTCTCAGTGCACCACAGTTGAAACGGAGGCGAAATAACTGACTGGCCGTTTTCTCTTTGGCCGCTGCAGTCTACACTGCCGCGGCTATTGGCGCGGCAGTGTAAGCTGCCGCGGCCGAAGAGGCAGTTATCAGCACGTTTGATCGTGCTTAAAACCGCTCTCCCACGACTTTTAACCACCTTTTTTCGTGGTTTAACTGCTTGTCCACGTCAGCACACGTTCTGTTTCTGGTATGCTGCCACGTGGGCCTCAAAAATCATCATATAACTGTTTCGTAACTGCTGCAACACTCCTTTAACATAGCCGCGGCACCCTAGATTGCAGCGCCCAAGCCGCGACACGACAAGCTGTCGCGCTTAAGCCGCGGCACTATATGCTGTCGCGCCTTAGCCGCGACACCATGAGTTGCCGCGCCACCTTGTGTTGCCTGATGACGAATAAATTGTTCTCGCATGTTGTTTTGAATGGTATTTGGATGTCTGCAAGTATTTTTTGACGCCTACAATCTAGTCAGCTAATTTGACTTTTTTCTTCTCATAGCTAAGATGCATAAAGAGTATCTCATGCCTCCTTCACCGACGTTGATGTAGAAATTCTCTCGAAGATGACTTCATCTACAACTTAGTAGATAAAGTATAAAGTTTTTCTCTCCTTCCAAGTATGTTTCCACTCAGTGAGTTATTATTGAGAGTGAGTAGTGAAAATACCTTATAGGGGGAGGGTGAATAGGGTAATTGCTAATCTAATCGATTACGATGCCAAATTAAAACTTATTAACAATATCCTAACAATATGATATACACAAATGATATATGCAAGGATATATAATAAACAATAGGCGATATAAACTATAAGACAAAAGGCGATATGAAAATATACACAAGAATAAGTGCGCCAATGCTAAACACAAACAAGCAATATGTTCATGGAGTTTGGTCAACCCTCGACCTATGTCTCTTCACTCCTCACCTCAACGAGATCTCCACTATCACAAATACTACACAATCTTGGTTTTCAAAGTTGATCAAAAACTTTTACAATTTACTCGTTGACAATCACATAATACACTCCTCAAAGTGTTGGTCTACCCGTGTCACCTTCCTCAAGTATTTGGAATTACTACATCTCTCTAGGCTTTTACAACCAAACTACTTCTCTTGGAATTGACTCCGGTCTCTCCCAATCACTCCTCTAAGTATCCTTGTGTATTACAACGTATTTCAACAATTTATGCAAGTAAAGATTTGTTCTCTAACAAAGACGAGAACGAAATTTAAGCTCACACAAAGATGCAACCTCACAACCTAAATATACAATATGTGAAATACTAAAACTCAAGCGGGTGTGTGTAATCAATGAGCAAAATAAAGTCAAAGTCAAATAAATCTAGCTCAAATATGATAATCAAAATATAAATAAGCTAGAGAATGAGTTTAGAAAAACTTCACTAAACAAAGAGATGTAGATATAGATGTTTGAGGTTGAACTCCTCAAAACTGAAATTTAAAGCCTTCTCTTTGTAAAACTCTTTTGCATAAACCAAAAATACACTTAAACTCTTGAAACAAGTTCGCAAAAATTTATTCTAAACTTCCATAAAGAAACAAATGAGTTATGATATATAGCCTCTCAAAAGAAATTAGCCAAACTAGCCGTTACAGCCAAAAACTAGTCGATCAGGTCGACCGGTCAAATGAATCGGTTGACCAGTTAGTCGACCGTTGGCCTATACTGGAAAACAAAAGACACCGTCGGTCGACTGGTTAACATTATCGGTCGACTGACATATACTGATCGGTCGACTGATAATAGAGATCGGTCAACTGATAATAGAGATCGGTCGACTGATAAGTTTGAAAATACAAATGCTAGAAAAACGCACTGGTTGGTCGACTGATGGAAATTTTCGGTCGACTGATAGATGATATTTCAGATACCTGTATTTTTCCAGAAACTTGATTTTGTAAATTTAATTTAACATAACAAAACAATTCCAAAATTAATAAAACATGGGAAAATGTTTATATATATGAAGATGAACATGTTAGAGAAGAAAAATTTTAAATTGCATTTTTCATTTGTGAAAACACAAACATTTTGCAAAAACGTCAAAAATATGAAATCGCCAAAACTTGATTTTGATGAAATCATTCCTAACAAGTTTTAAAACACTTTTCAACAGATTAATAGACTTGAGGAAATATATAAAATAGTGTCGTTAAGTCTATAATCTGAAAACGACGATAAATCAAAAACAAATATATGTGTGTATTTTGAGCTTTAAATACAACACATAATGTATAAATCTAAACTAATATACTCAAGATAAAATTCTTCGTTTAGCTTGATCTTGGTAGTGAGGATGAAACGATAATGTCGTTCACTTAAATTACGACGACTTCATTCCGATTTCATCCGACGTCCAAGATGTCGTCGTTAAAGCTTAATTTCCAATCAACCTCCAACTTATGATCTTTGTGTAGGATACCTAACAATTAAATGCAAACACTCAACAAACGATGTTAGGAATTGCTTGTTAATCATCAAAACCAGATTAGACAATAGACTCATAAACATGAGACCTAACAAATAGCTTGATCGGCTAGTTCGACAATGATGGTCTCAATGATGTTCCATAGATCTTGTGATTCATGCAAGACCTTCATTTGAATATTCAATTGATGATAATTCTTCCCAATGAACTTAAGAAGTTGGAGTCGCAACATGTAATTATTTGAGCCATGAACCGAAAAATGACAAGGCTCTGATACTACTTGTTGGAATTGACAGAAGTTTACGCGGAAAATTTGGAAGAACAAAAGCAACTAGATTAAAGAAGAGAGTTGATATTCTTATCGTGAGATTGATATTCTTATCGTGATAAACATGTATGTACGTGTGTATGTGATAAAATGAGATGGTGAGATTGATATTCTTATCGTGAGATGACCCAATAGGTAAATCTGGAACGATGATCGACACCGCTCATCGTGATTTGCACTCATCATCATCTATATGTAGAAAAAAATTATATCATTTTAAAATTTTTAATTATTATTTTAGTTATGTGCAAATGAGACGGCTATTAAGCTGCATGAAAAATTAACATATTATACTAGTTTGATTCATACTCTAGAAGACTCCAAACTATGTAAAAATTTGATGATGTTTTAAATAAAATGTACGGTATGAATAATGAATTTGATGATATGGTTAGTCCATCTCACGATAAGGTTTTGAAAAATACCCTATAGCTTCACTAAATCTGCACTCCTCTTTTAAAATCGAAAAAAAATAAATGCCTTATAGTATCTAAATGTTACAGATAAATACCCAAAAGTTTTAAAATGTTACACTTTGTTATCATCTTGTTTACCTAATGTTCCATGTTTGTGCCATCTTGTTTATCCAATATTACATTTAAATACATTCAACTTACAAATAACCTCACTTTAATACCTAAAAGTTTCTAAAAGTTATATTTTAGTATAATGTATTCTATGATATTCTTGGATACATACATAGAGAAATGCTAATACCATCTGGGTTTTTCATTCTTAAAAGTTTTAAAATGTTACACTTTGTTATCATATTGTTTACCTAATGTTCCATGTTTGTGCCATCTTGTTTATCCAATATTACATTTAAATACCTTCAACTTACAAATAACCTCACTTTAATACCTAAAAGTTTCTAAAAGTTATATTTTAGTATCATGTATTTTATGATATTCTTGGATACATACAGAGAAATGTTAATACTATCTGTGTTTTTTAAACATGGGGGCATTGATCTATAACATTTAAACATTTTAAATGACATTTGCTTGCATGGTTTTAAGAATGAAAAATAACTTAAAGACTCAAAATATGAGATGAGATCAAGGGAGGGGACATGTGAGCTGTCTCTTCCCTATTATATAATGAGCTAGTCATGTAGAAGGAGGACATCTTTTAGAATAGACGTCGTATACACGCAATTTAAGTGCAATTTAGCCATATTTTAAGCCACAAAGTCTACTGCTTTTTGTTTCTGTTTTCGGGGTCTTTTTTGCAATTATCTTTTCTTCCAAAAGGAAAGAGAAGCCCTAGAAACCCTAATCTGAAATCTCGAGAAGAAGAAGAGGAAGGATGTCAGGTGCGCCGCAGGAGGAGGATAAGAAACCAGCGGATCAGATACACATCAATCTCAAAGTCAAGGGACAGGTATCGTCTGGCCGAATCAAAACCTTTGCCCTAGCTTTTTTTTTCCCAATACTTTTTTAATTAAAAAGATTGTGCCGGTGACAGTTGCAAGATTATGCTATGTGATTACGATTGATATATGATGAACAATTAAATTCATTGGTAGCAGCAAGAATATTGATTCATGAGTAAGGCTGCCAAAGACTTGCACATGTTGTAATTTAGAGGGGTTTATTTATTAGTAGTTGCAAATTTATAATTGTATAGGGCTTGGATGTGAACTGCGGAAGAAAGTTTTTCCTAGCATTAATTACTTCCCCTTATTTTCTCCTTAGTACTCTCTAATTTCTCTTTTTTTTAAAGAAAGAAATTGGTATCAATTGATGCAATATTTTTTAAGGTTCTATATGGTTATGAAGCATTTGCATATGTTTGATCTATCATCTTTATCCAGTAATTTTTCTTGCATCTTTTCTCTAGACATAATAATCCGTACTTCCCAACTTTTCTCGGTTGCAGTCAGCTTTTATTCGACAAAATGGTTTCATTGAAAAGTCGAAGAAGAAAAACTTGACGATGGCTAACTTACACATATAATTATGAAATATGATATTTGACTTGGACAGTGCTGGATGCTTCAGGCTGGCACGATCTTTTATATGCTAGCTTGAGATCTTTGTTGTGATGTATGCTAGTCAATATCGGTGAATTGTTTTCAAGTTACAATAGTTTTCAATAATTTCACATTCTTTGAGGGTATTATTTAGGTAACCGTTATCTGAAGTTATTATTGTTTTCTTCTCTTTAGTATTTGTGGTCGAATAATCAACGCAGATCCTTCATAACAGTGAAACATGAGAATGCTATTTTGATACATTAAATCGGTGTTTTTTTCATCATTTTGCTGTCATAATGAGTATTCTTTTCACATGCTTTTAAACATGATCATACTGAATGACCAATACGCAGCTTTGGATTACCTAAGGTCAACTGTCTTATATTAGTAGAACTGTTGAAGTTCACAGGAGAAGCACTTGAGATGCTTTATGTAACTAGGAAAAGGTTGATGATCATGCAAAGAGAAGTATCTATTTCATTATTTTGCATTATCTGATACCTAAATTGAGTGGCAGGTTACATATTCATTACATAAGGATTAGTGATGTGAAAATTTCCTTTGACTATACGGGGCAGCTATGCATGAAGCCATGAACCATGAGTTGGGATATAGATGTGTCTAAATGGAGAGTACAATTCACCGTTGACCTGGCTGATTTCAATCTTGACGACTGTATGGTCTCATGCTACTCTCCACTTAAACGGATAGGAGATTTTGTTCATCCAACTAACCATTGGATGGACTTGATGGATGAAAATTTGATTTGAAGGATTAAAGTAGTGCCAGCTCATCTAATCAAATATTGATCCATCATGTTCATCCGATCGTTGAAAATCTGGATGGACAAAATCTTTTATCCACTTAGGTGAGCTATACGCACACATATGTTCAAATATAGACATGTACAGATACACACACATGTATGTATATCTGTGTGTGTGGCTTTGTATATGTATACATAAACACATATGTACATACATAAACACATATGTACATGCAAGTGTGTGTAGTTATCTTTTGGTACCAAAATCTAAGGGTTGATAGTTGATAGCTAGTGGGGAGATCTCTCTGATTTACCTTTGCTATTTGGAGACTTTGACAGGAAGCAGCCTAGACGGTGGTCATAGTGATGGCTGGCATAACTCATTTTTACATAGCCAGAGTTTCTACAAACTCTTTCTTTTCTGGAGAGATGTTTCACATTGTTGGCAATTTTGTCGGTAAACGTATCTGTGCTCCAAATATTACTTCAGTTTTGTTGGTACCAACCATCTATTACCATTTCAGGCATGTCCAGATCTCCTCACCTTGTGGATGTGATTCCTCATTCTTTCCCAGTTCTAGCTTAACCATTTCTGGTTAACTGGACTGGCACCCTTAAATCTTGTATGTGCTTACAGTAAATCTTGTATGTGCTTACAGTCTAGTTGTTGTCTACTATCTGACACATCAACTTCAATAAGTTTGTCCTTCATACCTTCTTTGTTTTGTTCTGTCCTTTTTGCTATTCTCTTCTCTTCTTCATACCTCCTTTGGTTTGTTCTATCAAAAATATTATGCATTCTTTTAGGTAATGCAAACAATTTCCGAGTTATGGTGTTGGAGTTGGAAATAGATAGCAGGAGCAAATCAATGCGATAACCTTATTAACACACTATGAAAGTGGTAAGCTTGTTTGGAAGACTTATTTTTTGAAGCTTATAAGTTATGTTGCCTTTTAATGCCTTTTGGTTTTTTTGATAAAAATACTAGGGGTTTTTGCTTTTAGACCCATTTGTTTACTCTCATTTGTCTTTAAACCCAAGTACTATTATTTGTATCTTTAAACCCAATTCACCTTTTGTATTTATCTTTAAACCCAATCTCCAAAATATAAAAACAAGTGGTGAAAATATAGTATTTTGAAGATTGGGTTTAAAGATAAATACAAAAGGTGAATTGGGCTTAAAGATACAAACAATAGTACTTGGGTTTAAAGATAAATGGGAGTAAACAAATGGGTCTAAAAGCAAAAACCCCAAAATACTATAAAAATTGTTTGAGCAGGATAGTAATTTGCTTGCTCAAACCTAGCTTTTTTAACTGATCTGATAATTTTTCAAAAGCTGGGGTATATTAGCTTTTTAAATTGAGACTTATAAGCTAACTTATTTGACATTTTACCTAATAAAAGCTCATTTGACAAAAAAAATAAGCCTCCCCAAACACCCTCATTGTGTATCTAGACTATGTTCCATTACATACTTATTCTTGGAAGTTAAGTCTCTGATTCATCCCATTCCTTATCCATTTTGCTATCCAGGACGGGAACGAGGTGTTCTTCAAGATCAAGCGCAGCACCCAGTTGAAGAAGCTCATGAATGCCTACTGTGACCGGCAATCAGTGGATATGAATTCCATCGCTTTCCTCTTCGATGGTCGTAGACTCCGTGGCGAGCAAACCCCTGATGAAGTATAACTCAACAATCTATATCTTGTGATCCTAGCTTATCTACTGGGACTATTTTCTTTTTTCTTAATTTTATTTTTGGTGCTTCTTCTGCAGCTTGAAATGGAAGATGGGGATGAGATTGATGCTATGCTGCACCAAACTGGCGGTGGTCTAAAAACTGCAACCACCTTTAGCTTTATTTTAGCTTAAGATACTGCAAGATCATGTAGATATAAATGGGGCATGAAAGTTAGCTGGAATTTGCTGAAGCTTTTTGTTTCAGCTTTTGGCTTTGTCATCGGGTGTCTTTGGTGGACTAGTATGCTTTTCACGGGATCAGGAAACCCCATACATTATGTTACCTTGTTTCCGTTTTGTTCGCATTATGGGATGTGCAAGCCATGGAAGGTTTAAATGTTACTCTCCTTCCATTTATGCGTCGATTCAACATATGGTTTGCTAGATGTTGCGTTATATAGCAGGTAATACTTTGATCCTTTTTCTTTGGCGCCTTAGGGATTGTGAAAAGCTTACAATCTGATTCAGAAAAGATATGGCTTTTGCAATGAATGTGTTAAACCATCTAGACCATGGAGTCCACATCCATCTCGTCAAGGTCGAAGGGGAGCCGGAGATTTCATTAGAGGATTGTTTCTCTTGTGAAAGTACTAGTGCTCAGTTTGGATATAAAATTGCCAATTGCCAATTCAAATGCTTGTGCGTTCTCCCCAGGGTTAAAAATTAGAATAAGAGTGTTTCAGTATATCTTTTCTTGACGCTGGAAACAGATCTATAGCCATATCCATAGTTTTAAAAAGTTGTCTACGCTGCCGCCGCCTATGCCTAGGGGTACTTAGGCCGCCCGTTTAGGTCTTGCAAGCACATTAGGGAGCATGCTGCTGCAAAACTTAGATCGCGGTCTCGTTTCCTCCATTACTGCCTCCATGATCTCATTTCCTCCATTACTGCCTCCATGCTGTCCTCCCTCTTCCGGTTGAGTACATCCACGCCACACACACTAGGGCTCTAAGCATCAAGTCGGCGCCTAGCGCTTACTATAACATCGGTCTAACTAAGAAAACTGTAACGGAGTTGCTGCAAAATAAGAAGCATCAGCCAACAAGCTCAAGATGAGTATTATAGTTTTAGTGATTCATTTTTCAGTATTTGGGCTATCACAAACTACAATGTTCTACAAGGTACCAACAAGTGACGATGCTCACGAAGTCCGCGTAATACAGTTTTACATCTGTTTCCTTTTCCTCAACAATTTGGGATTCTGACACCACCATTTAGGGTCAAAAAAAAATATTTTAGCCACGCAATTCAATCGGATCCATTTGACACACCCGAAAAGATAAAAAGAAGCAGATGGCAAAAATAATGCTTTGAAATGCTGATGCAGTGACACTATTGGCTGATATCCCGGGACATGGATAAAAATCAGGCAGGTAACTGGAGCCTCACGTTGTTCTTCCAACTGCACAATTTTACATAATAAGCAGATGTCATTATTTAGGACTTAACAATGCAATACTTTAAATAATTTTGGCTTGTGAACATCTCATACCTGTTTATGTAATAGTAAAAGAAATCGGCATAAAGTAGAGTCTGTACCAGTCCAGATATCCAAGCTGCGAAAGGGGAAGGAAACTTGTTAGCATTTCATCCACATGGAATAAGAAATGGTCTAAAGAAACAGAGGAAGGTATTATACTTATCCAGTGGACGTAGTGTGGTTCAGTGAAGTAGCGGTAAATCCAGTTGATGATGTACAATGCCCTATATGCACTGCAAAAAGACCACAAGTTCAACTCAAAGAATAAAAATCCATAGTGCTAAAACTGCACAAGTATGGACAGCTCAAAGAAGGAGAATCAGCTAACAGAAATCGATGTAATTGCAAAATACAAGAAGCACATGATTAATGCATACGATCTCGTCAAATTTCACGATGCGTATAACAGAATGGTTTATGCTCGGTGATGAAGACAGTCAGCAGACATGCTTTAAGTTCTTTTTCAGATTTTATAAAAAGACTGAATCCATTTTCTCAGAGAGAAATATTGCATGCAAATCTACTTCTTGAAATGAAATATCATAGCATTCAACAATAGGCTGTGGCTGGTTAGGTTAGTCACTACTCGGTGCGCAATTTGGTCCAACTACTCGCGTTAAACTGGAGGCAGCAATTATTACACATGCCAGCAACCAATTTAATGATCCAACTGCATCTTTGCTCTCACGATTACAAACCGTTGTGCTGCGACCAACTTAAGAATTATAATTGGGTATGTAGCCCTAGTAAATGGAACCACACATCTATATTACGCAGAGCTGCATCTAGTCAGAATTACATTACATCGCTAATTGGACCCCCAATCAAACACATCCCAGAACCCCAAAAAGGAAAGAAAAAACTACAAAAAAAATCAGAACACATTCACATGACATATCACGGTGTTTTGTATATAGGATGTTGGGAATAAGTCTGACAGAAAATTCCATATAGGATGGAGGATATTGGGGATATATCAGAGACATTTAAAAAATATCCAGGTGTCATATCGGATAATGTGTATATACAAATCAAAGATGTTGATACTTGGTGTACCAAAGAATTGCACTGTGGAGAAAGGTGTTATCTTTTTCATAAGTGGATATCTGTTTAGGTTTAGATCTCAATTGAATCATAAATCCAAACCAATCTTTTCAAATAATACAAGTCTAAATTGACATTCTAACATTTCAATTAATTTTTTGAGGATGAAGTAATGTCACTAGATATATAGGGAAATTCATAATATAACGCTAAAAATTTGGCTATGAGTCGCATTTCGTAGGTAAGTTTTTCTCCTTTGCTATTTCTTGAGATTTCTCCCAACTATGTATAATGGAGGGGAAACATAAACTCGGATAAGACTGACAAAGGATTGGACGAATCTAGAGGATCGCAATTTAAAAGGAGGTGAATGTTGCAATATCCTCCTGAAGCTAATGACCCACATCAGCAACGGGCAAGCCTTGGTCACATATGAAAATTCTAAGGATTTGAGCATGAACAAAAGTACAGACTCCTAAATCATGGCACAAATCATTCTATATGAAACTTATAACAGTAACTGAGTTGAACATGGAGTACAGAAAGATAGCTTACCCCAGGAGAAAAACATATTGCCCGGTCAAGTTATCAATATTCTTGGTCCTCTGTAACAAGACCAGCTGAGGAAGTATAGCAACAGCCTCCAAATATAAGGAGAATGTCCACATAACCTATTAACAGAAATTACAAAGTACATAATGAAGGCAACAAATCTGAATGTATAATGGAGAAATATAAGTTCCAAGCAAGAAATTTCTTCACCATACCACAAGAAACAACAAAGTAAAAGATAGTACAGAAAAATGACCACAAATTGCACCTTAGGCATGCATATGTTAGTTTATTAATCAAATTTCTTAAAAAACTGTACGAGTCAGTTTACCTCCTTGAAAGTAAATCTCTCATGTATACATAGGGCCAAGAACAGGCAAGGTAATATGAGGAAGTGATGGCGGAAGGTGTCCTGATCCTTATCATATGATCTGCGGACGATCTTGTGTCTTCTGATGTACCAGACTATTGAGAATGAGCTCCCCAAGAAGATCAACTTCATGACAGTATTATAAAGTGAGATAAAATCAGTAAAAATATCCAGATATCGTGTGGCAAAGACAAGAGCATAGAGCTCTTGTGTCTTCAATGAAATGCCTGCAAAAGGTATAAGCAGGGTGAGTTATGTAGTATGCACATGCTGCTTGATAAGAAAGTGGAAAGCGAACATTGTACATTGCAGTTGATAGAATGTGCATGTGTGTATGTATGTCTGTGCATGCGTACTTTTTAATTAGAAATTTGTATCGTTGGATATGATCTACTACAAGTTAACTCTTTAGTGTAAGATCTCGACTTTTTAATTAGAAATTTGTATCGTTGGATATGATCTACTACAAGTTAACTCTTTAGTGTAAGATCTCGGATAAATTTGAGTATGTTCTAACCTCTACTACAAGTTAACTCTTTAGTGTAAGATCTCGGATAAATTTGAGTATGTTCTAACCATGCATATTATACTATCAAAATCAACATATCAGAATTTTCGCAGAATCAAATAGTTTTTTACCCACATGATTAAAAACACACAGAAACTATTGGAAATTTTGCTAGGTAGTTCATGTGTATAACAACACATCCACGGGTATATATTTAGATATTTTCAATTTAAAAGCCCAAGTTTTAAAATTCATGTCTATAATTTTCACAAAATGGATGCTATCAATAACTATGTAGTTGTTCTAGGCCAATGTGACAAGAAATAGTGGTGACTCTAAAGTAGGCAGTGTGTGAGATTAAAAATTATTGACAACTATTGCAAAACAAGTATGCATGGCTGGGAGATGACAGAAGTATAGTCATCAAATGTGTGAATGAAGCATGATAAAACTATGAATCTCAAATGAACAAGAGATTTACGTTGAGGCAGAATTTTCAAAGTAAACTGCAAATATGTGATAGCATATTATATTAATAACAAAATGTATTAAATACTACACAATGCCTTGAAGTTCTGACTCATCTCAACTGCCTTGAAGTTCTGACTTGCATAGAATTACATACATGGAATTATTTAAGAGAAAACTGCCTTCCTAACCATTTAAATTACAATCAGGTTCTGTTCGTGAAGCTAGAAATAGTGCAAGATTAAGCTACATGTAGACACATCATTCTACTCGGTTGTGTCCACTGATTCCAACTCAGTTATTACTTGTTAGTAACGGGAAGTTTTAAAGAATGTTAGAAAGCTAATGACATTGCAAAAAAACTTGTACGTGTCATAATAACTGTAATCGACAGTTGTAGCCTAAGTACACATGACAAGCAGTTATCAGCTATTTCTCAGTAGGTGGGAAGATTACCATGGCCTGATGATATGATAGAAGCTCAGGGAAGATACAAAGTCACTAGTAACCATGAGAAGTACCAGAAAAGCAAGGTGCATAAGCTTTAGTAAATTGCCCTGTGATCGTAATGAGTGGATATTTGCATTTCCCTAAACAATCCCTTTTTATTTCCTGGACGACCTGTTCATTTACTCAAGAGAGCATCCCTTCCCAATGCTCACAGTATCATGAAAACTATTGCTCTAATATAACCATTTTACCTAAAATCTTTAGTTACTAGTAGAGGCAACATAATCTTAAAACCTTTTCTCAAGTAGGATCAGCCGAAAGCTTGACTCGCAAGCAAGGCATTGTAGAAGATGGTAATTGTAAGTGATGTTTAACACCAGGGCCTTATAAATGTCGTTAAACATTATACTCGAATGCTATGCCAGTCAAATGCTTTATCCGAAAGCTTGAAACTAGTTGCATTAGCAGTACGAGTCTATGACACTATAACATCACAGCTTTATATTTCAGATTTCGCAAATTAGTTCTGCAGACCCATTCAAACTTGTCATTTACGAACCACACGAGCTCAAGCTAAAAACTTTCCATATTCGGCAACATTCTAATCCTCAACCTGAAACCCTCCTACGTATATGTCGGCCAAGCCTTTCCTTCCTACTCTTAACTCATTTTAACTGATTAATAATCCTAAAAATGTCAACTTTACCAATCAAAACTTTAGTGCTGCCTAATCTAAAAAACTCAACGATATCATACGATTCGCACATCTCTTCAAAATGTCGAATACTTCCCTAGACTTTCGCCAGAAATCATAAACGTAAAAGTTTCAAATCTGAGCAAACTTCTTCACGTAAATCACCTTCTTACGTCAAATCGAACCAAACATGACAAGAAAACACGATTTTCAAAGAAATTTCATACCGGCGCAAGATTTGATGGTGTGGATCTTGAGGAGGAGAACGAGAACGCTCATCAGATGCGTCATGTCGCCGGCTAATCTGAAGATATTCATCTCTAGCCTTCAGATCTGAGATCTTAAGGTCCTGATTTCGATCGATTTGGAGCTCGAGATTGATGGAATCTTTCGTATTTCTCCCTCTCCCTCTCCCCTTTTAGATTTCTCTCGGTTTCTTTCTCTCCCCTCTTGCTCGATGTGAATCGAAATGGAGGGATTAGCGGTACGGTGTCTCGCGGGTGCGTGAAAAGGAGAGAAACGTCGAGGCCCGCTTTTTTTCCTTTCTTTTTCTTTTTCCTTTATTTATTTTGCAAAAAAAAAAATATTACACAAGTGATGATGACAATCGGGCAACAAGCTGCGCCGCTAATTCTTTTTTTTTTCTTTTTTTTTCTTTTTCTTTTTTTCCCTCTTTGGACATGGGAACTTCCCCGTGATGGACCGCGGGTATTAAATCTTAAAATACTGCTCATAGGAGACCTCTAATAATATGGAAAATTAAATTCATGTGAGTGTCCTCTATGATAGTTGAATCTGAGATCTTCAAATGCTACTTATAGTTATCTTACCAACAAGATTAGACCTAGTTGGGTAACTATTCCCGATTACATTGATATTTGAATTGACAAAAAACAAATATAATTTAAAAATAATTTGAATTTTCATATTATTTTTGACCGATATGAAACTAAGCTTTATTTGAGAAAGTATAGCATTGCAAAGTGAAAAATATTAAAATAGTGTTATACAAGGAAGGTGAATATTTAAAACCAATATGGCAAAATGATTGATTTAAAGTATGTTAAAACGATGCAAAAGAGAATATGAAGTTTATTCCTAATCATTGATAGACTTCATAAAAAAATATAAATTAAAGATTAATGCTAACTCTAGTATACTTTTATATGATAAAAACATCCACATAAGAATATAAAAGTACTGAAAAAAATTCATGAAACTCCCTTCTAAAGATTCCTAATTTCACTCAAAATAATTAAACTATTCTATAAAATATTGTTTTTTATTTCTTCTATTTTATTTTTTATTGAGTTAAGATCAATCCTTCTTCAGGTTTATCATTTATCATTTCTCGGACAATTCTAGAGTATTGTCTTCATCATCTACATCAATTGTGACATCAGGCTAATTTTGTATTTTTTATGCTATTATCTTTCCTAGGCTCGTTAATTTTTTATCATCTCATTTAACTTTACAAAGAAGTCAAATGTACTTATGATGTTCAACACAAACTGCTCAAAATATAGACTTTGATTTTTTTTCTATTTCAATGAGAATAAATATTAATTTCATATATATAAAATTCTTTGTGTTCCTAATTTATTACTTAAATAAATTAGAAGCTATCTCTTTATTTTCCTCTAAAATGAATTCTTCTGATGTGCATCCAATAAGAATTTCTGTTATTTTAATAATATTACCTTTGCTCTATCCCTGTCATTTTCCATAAAGATCTAAACTAAATAACTGCATTATTCATTACCAATTTCTCTTAGATTATAATATTAATATTTAATTTGAACAACACAGTATGGAATTTATGAATACTTACTAATTTTTCTTATGTCTTCCATGGAGATTTTTTCTTCGATTAGGATAAAGTTATTAAATTATTTTTTAATGTAACTCATTCAGTGCTTCATTAATAGATATGTCTTATGTTAATACCAATTTAAGTGATTCATTGACGTTTTCTGAATTTTAAATTTATTTCCATCACTTTCCCATTTGCAATGGAAATAAATCAATTCTTTTAAAGTTATCTCTAAATATTCTAATAGTTTCTCCATATGTAATTCCTTGTATTCTTTTACCCTATAAATATTATTAACGTCAAAGATTAAAGTTTCTAAATTAAAATCAATTAATGCTAAGGTATAATATTATAGTGTTTTATCATTTCTATGGATTTAAACATCTATCAATTAATGTTACGAATGTATTTTGGCTACCCCAACTTATTACTAAAATTATATGAAATTACTTTAATTTATATAGTGCCAATAATTTTTAATCTATAATATTTTTAAAAAAAAATTCCATTAACCGGATGTTTTTAATCAATTCTTATTGTTTTTGTTTACCAGTATCAACTTAGACTATTCTTAGATGCTGAAAATGGATAGTAAATCCCTAAATTAGAAATTTTAATATATATATATATATATATATATATATCTATAATATTTTTAAAAAAAAATTCCATTAACCGGATGTTTTTAATCAATTCTTATTGTTTTTGTTTACCAGTATCAACTTAGACTATTCTTAGATGCTGAAAATGGATAGTAAATCCCTAAATTAGAAATTTTAATATATATATATATATATATATGGCAAGCTCCCATGAAGCTCCTCACCTCAGTCACTGTCTTCGGCGTCGGCCACTTTGTGATCACCTCCACCTTGCCTGGATCTATCCTCCGCTGGCCCTTCCCTACGATGAAGCCGAGATATACCAACTCGTCCTTCCCGAACTCGCACTTTTTCCCGTTGAGCTTCAGCTGTCCGTCCTGCAACACTTCAAATACCTTCTCAACATGAACGAGATGCTCCTCCCAAGTCCTGCTGTACACCAAGATATCATTAAGGTAAACTATCACAAAATCCTCTATAAAGGGTCGCAACAAATCATTCATAAGCCTCATAAAGGTAGCCGGAGCATTGCACAGTCCAAACGGCATCACCAACCACTCGAACAGGCCTTGCTTGGTCTTGAACGCAGTCTTCCAAGTGTCTTCCTCCCGAATCCTCACCTGATGGTAACCAGACTTCAAATCCAGCTTCGTGAAAAACCTCGCTCCCTCCAACTGGTCCATAAGATCATCGATCCGCGGTAATGGGTAGCGATTCTTGATTGTGATCTTGTTGAGTGCCCGATAATCTACGCACATGCGCCAACCTCCATCCTTTTTGGGCACCAACAACACTGGTGACCCGCAAGGCGAACAACTTGGCACAATCACTCCTGTCTCCAAGAGCTCCTGAACTTGCTTCTTGATCTCCTCGGACTCTAGTACTGATGTGCGGTATAGGCCTATGTTAGGTAAGGAACTCTCCCCTGTCAACATAATCTCATGCTCTACACCTCGACGTGGTGGTAGTCCCGTGATCTCCGAAAACAAGTCCGCATACTTTGCTTTTAACCTTTCAAGATCTCCCTCCTGAAGCTTGCTCAAGGCGGACAAGCACATCCCACTCAGCTTCTCTTCATACGGTCGAATGAACAATAAAACGAACTTCCTGCCCGCATTCACCAACCTCTTAGCCTGAGTCACTGTCACCAAGCTCGTCTCCTGTGGAAGAGACGCCGAACGAAAAACGAATTGCTCGCCATCCTTGGTGAACGTATACTTTTGGGCTCGCCGATCATATACTGCGTATCTATCCCACAAATAAGGATTGCCCAAAATAACTTGGCAAACATCTAACGGAACCACGTCGCATGTGACCTCGTCAATATACGACTCGTGGAGTGCAAATCTGAATGAACACTGGTTCACTACACTCAATCCCGCCTCCTTCTGAATCCACCCTAATGGATAGGGCTTTGGATGCTTCACCGTCTTCAATCCCAGCTTCTGTACTAATGCCTCAGATATCAGATTTTTCTGACTCCCTGGATCTACAATAGCATCCACTAAGCTGGTCTTGACCTGCAATTTCAGAACAAAGAGCTGCTCCCTCGGGTCGTCATCTTCCTTGGTAGCCTGCTTCCCCGCCATAAGGTTGAGACTGCTATTGGGTTCGGTCATCCCGGGAACCTCCTTCGGACCCTGTGCTATCACGTACGCCTTCTTCTCCTCCTTCTTCTTCAATCCTTTAGGCTTCAGATGAGGATACTTATCCCAGCAACGATCGGCCACATGCCCTGTCTGCTTGCAGTGATTGCATGTCAATCCTGCTTTCCCCGAGTCAACCTTCTTCTTCTCATCCTTAGACTGAGAGCCACCCGTCTTGCTCCCCGATGGTTTGGAATCCCCCTTTGTCTCATTGCCCTTCTTCTGCCTGCCCTCAATGGCAATGGCCTTCACGCTCGCCTCTGCGATTGTCTCCACTGAAAACAGCTTCATCTCCTTCCGGATGTAATCATTCAGACCCGCCATGTACTTCATGAAGATGGGATACTCGTCTGTTGCGATGTTTAGAACCATCGCCTGCTGTTGGAACTCCGTCGTATACTCCTGAACGGTCTGATTAAACTTTTGGCGCAAGCCATACCACTTGTACCAACGCTCCTCAAGGAACCCTACTGGATAGAACTGTTTACGAAGTAGTTCCTTGAACTTGTTCCACGACGCCGCTTTCCTCTCCTGTTTGCAATAGGATTTCCACCACGTCAACGCGTGCCCGGAAAGCTTCAGTGTCGCGAACACTATCTTCTCCTTGGACGAATATCCGTAGAGAGTGAAGTACATCTCCATACGTTCGATCCAATCATCAAGCTTCTCCACGTTGATACTCCCATCATAAACAGGAATCTCAACCTTGAAGTCAATCTTCAGATTTTGGTAATTGTTCTTACTCCTTTGATGTCCGGCAGTCTTGACAATCTCAGTCTCCCCCTCTGAATCAGATTCCTCGTGTTCCTCGTCGGATTCGACGAGTTTCTTCTTGCCCTTCGAAGAAGATTCCTCCTTTTTGTCACCTCCGTTGATTAGACCCACGAGTTGGGTAAGAGTCGTCCCGATCGTCTCAATCTGTCTCTCCATGGCATCAAGTCTCGCTGAATTATCTGCTTCAGTCATCTTCTCCTTCCTTAATTTCTGGACTCTCTCCAAAGAAATAAGGATCTCGCCAAGCTTCTTGTACTGTGAGCGAGTAAGGACCATACACAGGTTCCCCCTTCACAGGATCTAGGTTCTCTGATACCAACTTGATACGAGTTGCCGTGCGAGCACTCTTGATCGCGGAATTATCAAGAGTGGGTAAAGAAGAAGAACGACAGAAGAACACAAGAGTTGAATTAGGGCGAAGGAAAATACCTTCTCTAGATTATGAGAATCAATTGGATTTTACAAATCTCTCTCTCACAATCTCTCTAGATCAAAGAACAACCTCCCTGATCTCTTTTCTGATTACAAACTGAGTTCTAAACCCTAGAAAAGTCGTGTTTCTATTTATACTAAACAGAAATCCCAACTGGAGCAGGAAACAGACCCAGGCCCGGATCCGCGACGCGGTCGACCGCAGTGCCCAAGTCGGTC